CCCCAAAACCCCAAAACCCCAAAACCCCAAAACCCCAAAACCCCGATTTGAGAAGGATAGATTGAAAATAAGGGAAGGGAGGGATATTTGGTATTATTAGGTGAGGTTGGAAATTAAGGAAATTAGTGTTTAAAAGGCTGATAGGATAAAATGAAGAATTTAGCCACTTAGAACATTGAAGGTCTTGTGAAACGGTTATAATAGGGTGATAAAATTTTTGTTCAGTATCCTTAATTAATAAAGTTCCGATAAAATGGTGAACATGGATATAATGACAAAAGAGGGCAAATATTCTAGAAAAATAGATAGAAAATTCATAAAGACTATACCAGGCATGCTTAACAATTTTCTGATTAAAGATTTGCCAGAAAATATCAAATTATGATATATAAGCATAGCTATTTGGCTCAAATTAATTCAAATTTTTGTGAAGTCCTATTACAAATCTTGGAAAAAATGTTATTAACTTTACCAATGAAATATATTTATTGAAATAATACTAGATAACCCATTGGTAGCCTACTGGCATAAATCGTTTGATTGAAGTTAGAAATTTTTGGATAAGAAAATCCTGTTATTTGAATGTAAAGCAAGTAGCCAAGAATTTAAGTCATCGTTTTAGAGCAAACTTCTTTTATTGATTAAAATTATTTAGAACTTCTCTGTATCGCTCATAATTATGCTCTTTACTTTTGAGGCTGGATAAGAACTCTTCTTCATAGTCTGATTGAATCTTTTGGCAAATTTTCAGGAATCATGGGTCATCACAAAACTGACTAAATGCCCTCGAGGAAAAACTCTTGCAGCATTTTAAGACCTGGCTAGCCCTTTTGAACTCCTGGCTTGACTCTTGTTTGTCTTCGACCAATTTGAGATTCAATAAAGCTTGCATGAAAATATGAATTTTGTACTTCATGACGACTTCTTCTGAGAACAACTCCACTCACATCTCATGAACGTCTTGAGATATCTGTGTATTTTGAGCTTTAGCAAGTTTGGAGAAGAACAGAGTAGGATATCTTGCTCTGAAAATATTTATGTAAAATCTCCTAATCCCTCTCAAGACTGCCTTCATGGTAATGTCCTTCCTTGCTGGGTACTTGCCTGTTTTTGAGCTGAAAAGGGAAGGATCGAGAGTTTGTCTCAGTTTCAAGGAGGATTCCCCTAGAAAGCATTGTAGTCTTCTTTTCGGATTTTTCCTCAGAGAATAGCTATTCTTACTTAAAGGTTTCTCTGATTGAGACGAGCCAACATCTTCTAGGGTCTGCATTTTTAACATCTTCAGATTTATTTCATCTTGAGAACTAAGTTCTACAGTTCCATTTTTCTCGTCAAACTTGATGAACTCATTCTAAAGGTAGAAACCTTCCTGCTTACCTGGTTTATGTTGAAGTCCCATTGCGGGAACTCATGGCCATATTCAAAGTTAAGACTTTGTAGGTGATCCATTTGATCGAAGTATTTGTATTATAATTTAAAGTTCCAGTATTGGTTCTTTATTAGGGGTTTTGGGGTTTTGGGGTTTTGGGGTTTTGGGGTTTTGGGG